TATGGTGCTGATATTTTAATCGTGTAATGAAGTGGCATTGTGTTGTTATTGTATATTCTTTGTATGTTAACACATGTTGTGAACCGGTCCGAATCCCTCTTTGAAGGTGAGAGGGTCGGTATATAAAACCTCGAAATAAATAATAATAAATACTTGCAAGAGCCCAGATTCTGTTTAATACATAACAATAATCCCATTTACAGATCCTTCTAATCAAACAGTCTTTTCCAAGTCTTGTCAGATACTAGGGTGAGGGCAGACAGCAGGAGAGACAGACAGGAAGAATCCACACAAGGTATTATTGAAAAATAACTTTCATCTGGTACGAATATCCTTCTCTGCGCAATGCATAAGCAGCTATAAGCACTCATCCAAGACTAACCACCGTTGCATTAGGAATTCCTAGCTGCTGCTTTTAAACTGTGCTGTAGTTTATTGTTTGCTCTAAATCAAAGCTGAATACCACTGTGTCTGTTAAAAAATCATTACAGTGCCATTAAAGCCCGAGTCACAGGCCGGGTGAATGTGGAATTTTCTCCTGAGCAAAGGGAGGGGGGTCTGTTACGCACCGACTCCCCTGATTATCTGTACCAGTTCTGGTCAAGAGATACAGCTGTCACGAAACACTCAACAGATGGCAGTTGCTGGGCGATGCCTCATCCATATTTGGATGCTCTGGTGACATTTGAGCTTGTGCCGTCCATAAATGCTCTCATGCAGCCGCTTTCATTCCCATAATGCAAGGCTTTGCAATGCAGAGTGACAACATTCATCTTTCTCAGGAATAGAGATAAATTGAACTGCCCTTATGAAAAGCACTGTGTAAAATGCTCAGATTTATTGTCCTTTAAAACTTTTAACTGGTATATAGAGATTGAGGTGGCTGGGAAGGAAAAAAAACCCTCAGATAGGCTGACATATTGGGAGATGGATCTCTTTTTCATGGAGATGAAAAACAGTGGTAAACTCGAGTTTTAGTTTTGAAAGGCTCTTTAAAGATTGATTTAACTCACAAAGAACAGCCGTTGCTCTCCAGACACATGAAACTGCTAGGAACCATAGTGTTTTGGGAGGTAATTGTACTGATCAATTTCTTTTAAAACAAAGTTAAAATAGCCAAAATAATACTGAGTTTCTTGGGGGCTTTGGGGGCATTTGGAATCTGCTTAGTGGTTTTATTTTAAATTCTGTCTTAAACTTAATTCAGATTAGATTCTGGATGTTGTTCAATATAGTTTCTTGTGCTGAGGAAGGCAATGAAACTATTATAAAGCCCCCTTTTCCTAAAAAAATTGCATGGCCACTTCACTAAGAACTAGACTAATATTCTTAATGTAGTTAGTAGTTATGTAAACCTGAATACTCTGTAAAAACTAAACTGAAGCTAGATCTGATTCATTATACTTCTTTTTCCAATGCAGTTTCAATTTAGATTTCTCTCACCTACTACAGTTGTTATTCTCATCAGACAGAAAACTTCAGGGGGAAAGCTACTAATTACAAAAATAATGTAAGGTTTGGTTCCAGTGTCACTGTGTGGTTAAATAAACTACACTTATCTTTGCATTGTAATTTCTTTTTTTAAAGCTAGAGAAAACTATTATGAATCAAACAGACGTTGCCTTCCTTTCGGTTTCATAGGGACTCTTTGCAGTAACTTCTTATGTCTTTTTCAATTTGTAAGCAACTGGCTACTACTAACAATATTAAAAGTAGTACAATTTAAATCCCTACAGGCCTTATGACTGAATAAGATGCAGCCTACATTATTTTTCTGCAGTTTCTGACTACAGGAAAATATGATTTTGTGTCTTGTTTCCCAAAAGGGTTCATAATTATATATAAAAAGTACCCACATGTGTATCACTATTATAATATGTGTTTCTTATCTGAGATTTTTTAAAGTAATTTTTTTCAGTACCAAAAATTTCTGACTTAATTCACTTTCAGAATGTTTCTGATTAGTATGATAAAGGCATGACAACTTTCACCTGGAGGATAGAAAATCACCGAGGGTGAATCTACACTACAGAATTAAAGAAATTTGACATCACTTTAACTGCTATTCCTCAGTGTTATGGTTTTACAAGGTCTTTAGCCTACTCTGACAAAGAGTGCTGGTGCCTTGCCAAACTACAGATTCCAGGTCTCCATAGTACTGAGCCATGGCAGTGGTGGCAAACTCAATTAATCCTGCAAGACTTTATCACGTGAATCTACTATTCCACTATAATGGTACTATCCTTGATAACAGATACATCTACACTATCACACTTATTTTTAACCATGCCCTTGCACCGATTAACCTGTTCATAGCCCTGCAATTGTACTTCCTCATACTGACATAATCCTGCATTAGGGCCCCTTCCACACAGCTGTATAAAATCCACATTGAACTGGGTTATATGATAGCGTGGACTCAGATAACCCGGTGCAAAGCAGATATTGAGGATTATCTGCCTTGATATTATGGGTTATACAGCTGTGTGGAAGAGCCCTATGGCTATTCTATACTAAAATTTTACATTTTAGAGCAATTTACTGTTATATTTCTATGTTGTGGTTTGTTGGCGGCCTTGGCCATTGTAAGCCGCATCGAGTCCTTCGGGAGATTTTGCGGGGTTTAAATAAAGTTAATAATAATAATAATAATAATGATAATAATAATAATAATAATAACAATTTTACAATTCCAGCTTTGACAAACAAAACAATACAAATATAAATATTAAATAAAAGGAAACTGGACAGTTTTGAGACAGTGGGGGGGGGGGGGAAGAGGAAGAAAGTCCTACACTCTGGTAGCACTTTTCTGTTTGCACAGATGCAGAGGGGACCTATAGCACCAAGGAAGGTAATAGAGATTTTGTGGGTTGGAAGATATGAATGGACTCTACCCCTCAATAGCAAGGGATTGGATAAGTGGGATGCACACACCATTATATGATAGAGACTGTCACCAAAGATTATGTTCCAGTTGCAGTGCCAGTTTGCCTGCCTTGTGCAATAGAGTCCACAATTTAGATGCACCCTGGCTGACTCAGAACAAGTAACACTTTATCAGCTTGAAAGAGAGACAGTGCCAAACCTCTACTATCCAAGAAAACCAAATGAAAGGGTACACTATAAATTGGCATCATCTTGAAGCACAAATCAATCCAGCTAGCATCAAATATAATTTCATGTGGCCTTTGCAAGCCCTCTATACCAGCTCCTATTCATTTGTAATTTTGTAGAATGGATACAAATTTTAAAACATATTTATTTAATCAGTATTATATCTTCTCCCCCACACATTGAATATATGACTCAAAACATCTAACAATAAAATCAAAAGACATAAAGTACAATTGCCATATCCACGGGGGATAGGTTCTTAATTTGTCATGGAAGCATGACAACATGGCTAATAGTGAACCGTACTGAAATTAACACATTCTGTTGTAAGTTACCATAGGATCTCACTGGAAGATCTAGCAAATTCCTTGAGTGGCATTGTCTCTAGGAATTGGCTAGGTTCTTCAATAAGTCTCTGTGGAAACATTCAGAGGAGGACCATAGAATTGCCTGGAAGACCTTGTAATGCCAGAGTGGCCTCAGCTTTGGTGTCCAGTGTAGACTCTCATCCCTTAGTTATCAATTTCAGAGTGCCATTATATACTTATAAGACACAGCAGAGCCAAGTTTATACTAAAAGTTTGTCCATTTTCTGTTCTCTTACTTAAACTCTTCAAGGACTTGAAGCAAACAGAAAATAAAAATGAAAAACATGAATATTAGGTGAACTTTTAAAGCAGAATTTCAGTAAAGCTACTGGTAGAACATGCATTTGTGTTCTCATCAGTGGGTGGTTCTCTATGTCCTTTTTAGTGTTTCCAGAAGAACTTGATCTAAAAAATGATTTTCTTGATCATTCTTGAAGAATTTGATCTGAAAGTATTGTTTTTAAAAGTAAAAAAACCAAAAAAACAGGAACATGAGGAAAGTGGTGGTGAGTCAATATAATCATTGTTTCTTTATTGGGCAAGAATATCTCGTGTTTGTGGCCAAGAAGCAACAAACATGGCTAATTAAAACCAACTAATTGTTTAATACTTCCTTTCCCAGAAGATGTTGAAAAAAGCTATTTCTTTCATGGATGAACCCATTTATCAGCCACATCTGAGCAAGGCCATGGGAACTTTGACCCAAAGTGCCTATTTGCTGCTTTAGTGATATGATTAAATACCTCTGAAATTGGAATCATCCTAGTTAAACCTTTTTTTTTTACTTCTCTGTTTCTCAAAAGCAAATTAAAGTATTTTCCATTAGAGGAAAAAGTGAGTGGGAAGCAAAAAGAAAGTAATCTAGCAGCATCTTTAAGACTAATATATTAGCATGAACTTTCATGGATAGGAACCTACTTCTTCAGATATGGTAAAGAGCAATATTAAAGCCTTGATTATAAGGTATAGCCCAGTTATGGGATGGAATGTAATAGCATTCAAAAATATATAAATTATGACCCTTACTGTCATTGTCACAAGTCATGAGTGTTGAGGTGCGAAAGAAGCCTCTCATTGTGCATTTCTCACATTTTTCTTTTTCATCCCCATCTTTATGCATTACAGCAGGCAAATGGTGGTATGGGTGGGCATTTGAAATGTAAGATGGTGGCTGAAGCACCTTTATGGGTTTTAAGTTATATGCAAATATAGGTATCCCAAAATCTAGAACAATTCAAAATCTGAAACTATTTCCTTCCCCAGCACCTTGATTATCAGGGAAATGAATTAATTGCAAGTAACTTCAATGTATCAAAATAGTTGATAACATTTTTTTTTCATTTATTGATATTTCTCCTTTCTTCCAAGGGATGTGGCAAATGACGATCTCACAATGGCTTCAACAAGCACTTTGTTGAAATCTGCACTTCATGTGGCACTTCCAAGTTTCATTGAATTTAAAAGTCTTATTAGAGCCATGTGAAATATCAGCAAAGCTTTTATAGGACTGTGTATCTATTGTATGGTAAGAGAGAAGGTTATACTTTCCCTCAAAAAGAACAGATGAGGTCCTAATAGCCTATGCGGCACATATATGGTTAAGGGATCTGACAAAGCTTTTTTTAACCAATGTAGAATAATATTCTCAACATTATATCAATATATAAGACTATCTAGGGAAACAATGCCATTGTTTCATAGATTATTTCTGAACATGGAAATGTAAGGGGTTCAAATTGAAGTATTTGGGATGAACACTCTTATTACAGAAAATGAACCTTCTATCAATCTCAGTCAGTTTGGGGGTGGTGGTGGTGGTGGTGTTCATTGCAGTGCCAGCCAATTAGGCAGATTTATTTATTTATTTCCTTGATTTACATCCAACCTTTCCCAATATAGCACCCAAAGCAACGTAGTACAAAAGTACAAAAAAATAAACAATCAACCCAATCTAAAGATTAATTTGAAGCAATTAAAGCACATTAAGCATATTACAAAAGCCACACACCTATCCCTTATTCTCTTTCTCCAACTAGTTCAAGGTTGGAAATAGGCTTAAATAATAAGGACTTTGCCTCATGATGGAAAGGGAGGTGGTGGGTGAACCGAGCCTGCCTTGTGTTGCTAAGTGATCTGCTGGGGGCCCTGCCACAGAATAGAGAAGTGTTTCCAGCCTTGATTTGTGTTGCATGGAGGAACTCTATACTTGCAATCAGCCTGCTCCAATGGTAGGACAGCAATCTGCTCAGGAATTCAATATTTGCATAATGTTTACTATGGTAGCCTGACTCCTTGTCTCAATTGTGAAAGGGCTTCCTTTCCCACTATTGCCACACTGTGGCCGCTGATAATTTCACGTAGCAAACCATTTTACTGATGACTTGACTACTGGTCCACTGCATGATTTTCAATCTGATAGAATGAGTTTGCAGGGGGAAAGTAACACTTCAGTGTTCATTAATAAAGTTGATTACTTTGGAACACAACAGTTTATTTAGACAGATGAGCAGACTCTGAACCTCCTGCTGGTGTTGCTTCTATGTTTTGATGTTAGGAATGGGATCAATTGAACTTCAATCTTCAGACTGATTTGTAGAAAGGGGCATATGATGAGGAATTTTTCAGTGACTATATGGTCCATAGGAGATTCTAATAGCAGAAAATGCTTCCTGACTGACTACAGTTATCCATCCTGCTATAAAATACAAGTGCTAAAAAGACTTGAGGTTTTGCTTCCTGAAGCTAGTAATTATGTGACTGGGAGATACAGGTAACAGTGTGACAACTTTTTCTTCATTCTATATTCATAATCAGAGTGAAATAAAGGAATATCCGTTACTTTGTGTCTATTTATTTTTTCAACTTCAGGCACCTATTAGAACAGGGATCCTCAAACTAAGGCCCGTGGGCCACATATGACCCTACAAGGTCATTTACCCAGCCCTCGCTCAGGGTCAACCTAAGTCTGAAATGCCTTGAAAACACACAACAACAACAACAACAACAACAACAACAACAACAACAACAACAATCCTAAAAGCAGGCCCACTAAAATACTAATAAGTTTATATTTGTTACAAAATACTAATAAGTTTATATTTGTTAAAATACTAATAAGTTTATATTTGTTAAAATTGTTCTTCATTTTAATTATTGTATTGTTTTAAAGGGTTTTTTGCACTACAAATATGATATGTGCAGTGTGCATAAGAATTCATTCATGTTTTTTTTTTCAAATTATAATCCAGCCCTCCAGTAGTTTGAAAGACTCTGACCTGGCCCTCTGTTTAAAAGGTTTGAGGACACCCTGTATTAGAACACTTAGATCACATACTACACAAGGTTCAGAATTGGTTTAAGTCAGGAAAATGAACCTTACCAGCTTTTACAAAAGTAGTTAAATATTTTGGTAGATAGTATCTTATGTAACTGTACCTCATGCATCTTTATAAATACAGAAAGGCTCCAACCCTCCTACTTCATCACACTTGATTCTGTGTTGGGCTGTCTTTTAAATTAAAACACAGTTGCTTAAGATGGCAGAACTGAGATAGGAAACAGTTGTTGCAAGGATCATTGACTAAGACGGGCTACATTTCATCATGCAATCTGTTTGCTTATTGTTCCTGCTGTTATTCAAGGTGGTTTCTATATGTGGGTGGTAAAGCTCATCTGAACAATTATGAAGCATGTAGACCAGACTATCATATGTTGGGAAATGAAACCAAACATTGAAGTATGAATTGCTTCTGCAATTTCACAACTAAAGGGTTCAAATATAGAGAGACTACTTAAAGGATGTATATTTGTCAATGAATTGGTGAATCTCACTGATGTCTAGGAGGGTTTGAATTGATATTGATTGACCTGGCTTGATCACTAGACAGTATCTCCTACTTCAGGATCACCCAATTGAAGAAATTAAGATGAGAAATGCAGAAAATATAAAATTCAAGATATACATGCAGCCAGAGATTATTCACTACTAATCAATCCCCTAGGTGAATCCATGTCTTGTGGCAGTGATGTCATCATGAATGGGATGTCAAAACCAACTGGACTGAAGACCCAAATTCTTCACCTATCTGATTCCCAATTATGCTTCTCATTTGGTACCTTTCCAAAAGTCTATTCTGAATGAATGTAACATCAAATCATCCCTTCCATTTCCACTGAACAACTAAAATTGAGAAGATCAGAAATAGTTCAAGAAGAAGCCTGATGGATTCTTACACATTCATGACTGTGATAAAACTGATTGCCATGGACTATTTTCATTTTCCACCGCAAAACCTGATATTTGACACCAGTGCTGAGACATTTCAGCAGAGACATTTTAAAATGTTTTGCTTATAATTTCACTTGCAGAGTAAGAAAAACTGACAAAGAAATCCTGTTTCCATTTCACGTTACATAACTCCATGCACACCAAGAAAATACAAAAGGATACTGCCAACTTGTCCTTTCAAATAATATTTTAAGTAGTAAAGTGGTTTCTGAGCTTCTACAAAATTATTTTCCCTCCAAGATCCCCAGTTTTGCTCCAAGTCATTATGGGAAATTAAAGTGGTGCCATCTGCTGGCAGTTCGCATACCCATCTACTAAAAAAAGAGAGGTTCAAGGCATGTGTAGTGGCTCACCTTTCCTAGTTGCTGGGCTTATACATATATTTTGAAAAGCTATTGGCTTTATGTTTTCCTCTCATGGCCTTATGATTTCCAGCTCCGTGCCTCTCTGAATTGCCCTTTATATTACTATCTGAAATAGAATTTGACTTGGGAGGAGAGGAGAAGGGTGGAAATCTAACACATTCATCCTGTAACTTTATTTGAAAAAAAAATTGGAAAAGGTAGATCAAGATGTAAAAGCAAGAGAAAACTCTATTCCTTGCAGGAAAAAAAGTAATATAATGCTGTCCATGTGTGCTGGACTACAAAACCCATTGCCTCCCTCCATCTTGTCAAACATGGATGTGAAGGTAAAGGAGCCTAGTCTAGAACAATAATAAATGCCTTTGCTTTAGAGATTTCTAGAGAGAATGAGAGAGGGAGCGTGGTTGAGGGGGGTTCCTTGGGAGGAATTTTAGGTATACAATATTCTGCCTAAATGACTAATAGAGCAATTATGTACACATCTATTCAGAGAAAAAATGCATAGTGAGTTTAAAGGCACTTACTCTCAGGGTATAGGATTGCATCTTGAATGACCTAAATGACTAAATGGCTCACAGTATCCCTTCTAAATAGCTCATTCATGCTTTTATTAGCATTCTCAGTGCTAGTGGGTTTTATTCTCAATCATTTATTTACTTCCATGTGGCTTTAAAGGTAATTTCCTTAATTTCATCTTAATAATATTGTTTGTATTCCTATCCTTACCTCTTGCTAATCCTACCATGTACGCCTTCTCTGAATATCTGACAAGTATTCTCATGCTTGAGCTTATCACCTAGACAGGCAGTCTCCAGGTCCCTAATAATTGATCCCGTTGTTCTTTGAACTCCTTGCAATGTGCCAATAGATTTCTGGTAATCAGGTGTCTAGAACTGATAACAATATTCATCGTGTGGTTATGTCAAAGCTATGCCCAGGACAATAAGTCTCCTTCTCTACAATGCCAAAAATGTGTTGGCTGTCATAACATGTTGCATACTTGCTTTGCAATGCCTAATGGATCTCAAAGAGGTGTTTTTCTCTCACTGAATATCGGAGGCATTCTGTTGATATCTGTTTAGGCAGCTAAAATATGAATTAGTGAATCAGAATGCTGAAGTGTGTGACTGATAGTGATCACAGTCTATTTCATACCCACAGCCATGGTGGACTTTTACTGAACATTTACATTAATAGAGGTTTTGATAATGTTTTTATGTTAAATTGTTTATGTAAATTTACATTTTTTATTTTATATGTGCATGTATATGTATTTATTTATTTATTTCAGATATTTGTACCCCGCCCTTCTCAATCCCCGGGTTGTGGGGGTGACTCAGGGCTTGTATTTTGTGTACTGTTGCATTCAGTGCTTTTGTAAGCCACCCAAGTCCCTTCTGGGTATGGTGGTAGAACATAAATAAATTATTATTATTATTATTATTATTATTATTATTATTATTTTAGCATATGAGTTGATAAAGTAGACAGAATTAAACATTTGCAGCTAGGGTTGGTCATCATCATCATCTACTATATATATTCATGGAAAAATTGAGCTCACATAAGTCAAGGGTGGATTTTGGGGCCAAAATTATAGTTTTTGATATGACCTGTGGATACAGAGGGGGGTAGTACCAATGCCACCTTGCAACCAAATACCCCTTGTCACTACTGTTATTTTCCCACACAGGCTTTCAAAAAGGCCAGAAGCAATGTCACAGCAGATATAGTAGAGGCAGGTCAATGCTTCTTTGAAGTTCTTCCAGAAAAGACTGAGTTCTTGCCTTTTGTCACTCTACTCAGAGAGGGTATGGTTTCTTTGCTTCCAAATCAGTGAAATAACAAGTCAACACACTAGTGTGGGTTAAACTATGGACAACTTTTATTAAATGTTGCCAATTAATTTCTTTGTGAACTTCCAACCACTTTAAAGGCATTCATTTTGTGTATAATGCAACTGAGGCAGT